TGAAGTGCAAACCCCTGTGCTCTGCATGATGCACCTGAGAGAAGGCAAGAACAGATTAACACTGTCAGACTGATGGATATTACTAATTAACTGAGCGAGGCATGATCAGGTATGGAAATAAAGCTCCTGCACCCTCTGCTGGGGAGAGGTTTGTGGATGTGTAGCCAGGCACTCCAAAGCTCTCATCTTTTCATCCCAACTTTTGCTGTGCTCCTAACACTAGAAAACCAAGTAGTTATCTGAAAATGAAAATCAGGAGAGACCTATGCCGGTCCTGGGCCTGAGTCCCTGCTCTGGTACACCCCAGACTGGTGCAACCCCTGATTCACTGATGGACGTGCAGCAGTCCAAAACTGAAGTCTGACCCTGCCAAAACCAGGGCAGGCACCAATTTGACATGCAAAGACCTGTCCCTCCGTTCAGAGGTGTCCACGGCTGCAGTATGTCCAGAGGCACTGAGATGGCCACAGCAAAACCCAGCGTGAAACACAGCTGGAGGGAGCAGAGAGAGGATCTCTGCCCACCCCTCTCCCTACCTCTGCCACTCCTGCCCGTGCTGAACTTGAAAGTCTGCCAGCCCCACTTCAGCAGGCAGCTTGGAATAATACATTCACTGCTATCAATGAATATGGACTAAAAACAAAATGGGGTTTTTCTCCCCCCACTGCCCTCAGCTTGAAGGGCAAGAGGTCAGGAGATGTTAAGTCTCAAGTCTTTGGTAGTTCCTCATCCAGCAGCTTTGTGCACTGAACAGAATAACCCAAGAATGCATTTCTGTGTGTTTAGCTCCATTTAGGAAATGGGTCTCACTAAATTTCCGTATTTTTATCAACAAAGCTGTTTCGTTGCTGCAAACAGCAAGGAAGCAGCAGTGTTTGCTTTGCTGAAAACCTGAATCACTCCTCTCAAAGCATTTCTATGGGGTTGGAGAAACAGGCCAAAGTTCATTCTGTCTGAGCTGAGAGACCTCCTAAAACTTGGGAAAACTCCCAAATTTGCCTACAATCTCTCTCTAGCAAAGCACAGCAATGAAACCCAGACACTTGGCACTGCAGCCTGCAGCTGTGCACGTGCCCTGTCCTTGTGCCCGATCCTGTTGGTGGTCTTGTCCCAGGAACAAGTAGCTCTTCTTGGCCCTAAGGGATGGTTTTCTGGGACTCCCAGGAAGCTCCGTTCGTGTACTTGGTACTTAACTAAAAATCCCGAGCAGTGGTAGGTGGCTCTCTGAACTCCAGACGACCCAGAAATTAAGCTGGCAGAGTAAGCGGATTCGTCTGGTGCCTTTTTGGGGATGCTCTGCTGCTTGTTCGAGCAGCCTCGAGGCACTGCCCAGAGGACATCCAGACTGCCCTTCCGCTGCACGGCAGTCACGCGATTTTGTCGCCTGTTAAAATAAACAAACCAAGAGGCTTATTACTAGTACCTGATCACGTCAGCAGCTCCTGGAAATCGGGAGGCTCCGCTGCGGCAAGCGGCGCGTCCGTGCCGCGCGGCGCTCTGCGGCGGGTTCGCTCTGCCATCTAGGGTCCAGGCTCCGCGGCGGGTGGCAAGGCTCTGCAAGCCCGCTGCCCTTGCGAGGAGCGGCTCAGAGGTGTCCAGCTCCCTCCGCCCCGGCCCCCAAGGCCCTTCCCGCCCCCCCCGCTGCCGGCTCGGCCGCGGGGCCTTGGTGTGCGCTGTGGTCTGGTTTAGCTGCTCACAATTAAAACTTTCGTAGTTGATTTACATTCTCCAGCTCCTTCAGGTTCGTATTTCAGAAAAAGTTGCAGCTGAGTAAGGACTAGGAAAAAAAAATAAGAGCGCATTTAAGCGTTTGGGTTCTAAAGAAAAATTAGGTCCCTGTTTGCATCTCAGGGCAGAGAAGCAGCCCAAAACCTACACATTGATTTTTTTTTTTGTTTAAAAATTAATTGAACAGAAAGCTACAAAAATTAAACCACTATCAAATCAACCGAAGATTTGTATCAATGCTGATTGCTCCAGTCAGAAGGAGACAAAGAAATAGCAAGAATTTATACTTTTGGTAGTTGTTGGAGAGATAAAGTGTGTCAATGCAGCTAAAATATTTATTCAATAAATCACCAGGAAATGTATAACTAATTGGTCTGGCGATGGGGGCATACCTGATGTTTTAGCAAGAGCAAGGCTGACTTGACTGAAGCTGAAAAATCCCCAAATGCCAAGAGGGAGAAAAGGGATTGGGGCATCTTTTTGTTTCCTTTAATGTCTAAACTTGGTGGTTTAAAGCATAACCTTACCGGGGTTTCACCTCCATCTAAAAATCTTATCTCTGTGTCTCTGACTTTTCTCCCGTTAAGAGTCTGTCAAGTAAAAGGAGATTTAAAAAAAAATTGCTCCTGAGTTTTGTGTGAAAATTTTATGTTCCGTGATTCATCAAATTCCTTATTCGTGCCAAGTTATGCAAGCCTTTAAAGCGTGTCCTGTGCCCTCTTCCTCTTTCTTCAACTTTATTTTATGCCTGCCTTTCTGTTTAGCTATAAATTATTAATTTCCCTATATAAAAGGAGAGTGCAGGCTAAAGAACCAGCGACCACTCTTGCTGAAAAGGTTTCTCTTTCCAAAAAGTTACGTTATCCAAAACCACCATTATGTTACTATTGATAGAAATTAGAGAGAGCCGCCAGGAACTTAGTGGACGTAAATTATAGAGATACTTGAGGATAGTGGCAGGAGTGGCATTAAATGGATCTGAGAGGAAATGTCTTGATTTCATTCATGGTTCTGTCACTAAGTTATTGCATCTTCTTGGAAAGTTAAAAAAAAAAAAACGCAACCTGTAGCACACTGGTTCCTGCCCAGGGCTGGAAACCAAACTGCTGGAGTCAGGTATGGTACTGACATCAAAGGCCAAAACTGGCCGTTTCTCACCTTGGACACACAAGCTCCAGGTGTCTCAAACTAGACTCAAATTTAGGACTGAGTTTCTAAAACTCAAATCGCTTATGGTAACTCCAGTGCACTAAGGAATAAGTCTTTCTTTACATTTCAAGGGTGGCGTATGTTTTAACTAGTGAGTGAGGCACCAGTAGCAATACTACTATATCAGGAAGAGTGGCTAGTGCAATATTTGGAATCCTCCCTATGAACATTGCCAAAAAGTCTGCTGAGGTTTAGGCTATGACATCCTCTAGCAGAGGGAGGCATGCCCTATCACTGCATATACATCTTCCAAATAACAGTCCTCATTCAGGAAAGCAACTTTTATTCAACTCCTTAAACGGTTGCTTTTCCCTAGTTGCAGTCATGGGCTCTAAACTCACACTCAAGTGCCACCTTGAGTTAAAGCAATGTATTTGTGTTATCGCAGCTCCTCGGGACCCAGTTCTTTGCAGCCGGACTTACTGTGTGGTCAAAAGCACAGAGAGCAAAAATATCCCTGCCCAAAGGATTTGAATAAAAACAGATTACCCATGAAGAGCTTCAGATGTGAGAAGACCAGGTAGATATGTTGATACCAAAGCCAGGGTGACTTCTGTACGCAATCGCAATCGCCAGGAATTTGAATGTTTTGCAGTCATATGACTTTCTTATAAGGCTCCAGCATTTATTTCTGATCCATGGTAAGGGACACCTTCCACCACAGGGGAAAGCGTGCTGCCCGTCCCCAGGGGCACTACACCAGCACACTGGAGACCAACTGCTAAGAAACAGCAATGCTTCCTGCAGACTGCAGCTGACTCCCCGCTGCAAGAGCCAACGAGGATGGGCACATTCAGGTGCCGTCTGCTGGCCCTGGAGAGCTCAGCTCCACGCGCTGCCTGTCTAGGAGAGCGTCGAGCTCCTGGCGCAGCCCACCAGCCTCCCAGGGTTTCTGCAGCTTACCTGGAAGCAGAGCTGGAAGACAATGCTGGGGCCCAGCAGACACAGACACACCAAAGCACTGACAGCTTTTACAGTCCATGTGATGGGCAGCTCTAGGGGCTCACAGAGTATTTAAGGGGTTCTACATGGCGCGTTGACACACCATTATTTGGGAAAGCATGAGCTGACCTGCTATGAGCATATTTATCTGCTTTACTAGGGGTTTTTGACTGTATTGGGAAAGAGGCTGGCATTAAGCCTATTCAAACAGGATTTAGCAAGCTGAGAATTTTCCTGTTTATCTTATTGGTGAGAAGTATAATGAGATAAATACAATGATGTTATTTAAGTACACCTGAGTGTACTGCATCCATGTGGGAAACGCTTGCACCTGGGTTTCTTTAACAGCTTCTGCAAAGATGGGCCATTGCTAAGGGCTTAAAGCCAAGTCAGCGGACATGACCTGGGGTCTGCTTTGCCTAAAGTGACCTGTCTGTTCTGCAAAGCCTGTTTCAGTGTCCTGTCCGAACGAGTGGCAGGTTCTTTGAACCCCAGCCGCTGGCTCCTTATCTAGATTCTGGTACTTCATCAGTTCGGAAGCACGTGAGAGCAGGGGGACGAGTTTTACTTTTTTCTCTTCCTTTGCAAAATGAAACTGCTGCTTCAACTGCTGCTGTCAGTCTGCCCGTCTCACTCCTAGAGAGAGCTAGCGAAAATTCAGCCTGCACTTTCTTAATTTAGGATGGATGCTCAGTAGAGAACTCTTGGGACAGATAAAGGTCTCTTTCCAGCGCTGTTTGTTGGCTCTGAGCCTACTTAGATGACACCAGCTTGCATTTTTAGAATAGTGATAAGTACCTGGCTAACAGCTACAGCGGTGGACTGTTACCTGTCCAGAAGCACCTGATGTCAAAACTTAAAATCAATATTTTTAAAGGACTCTGAATGACGGTGTCCTTGTAACTGATGGCACTTGAGATTTCTGAGCTTGATTTTATATATCAGGAAGAAGAGCGTTGTCTAAACTTAGGAATCAGAGAGAGGTGTGAAAGTTTAATGCCAGGAAAGGTTAGGCTCTCGGTCACCATCTTGCTCCTCCTTAGCTGCCATTAAGAATAAGTCTTTGTCCCCAGAGCGCTAAGAAATCATCAGAAATAACCAGACAAAGGGAACTGAAGAAGTGCAAAGAAAAATAAATGTGTATTTCATCTCACGAAGGTTAAATCTCTGGCATTTTTACTGAATGCAAATTTTCCATTCTGATGCTTTGAGGCTTAATTTAATGATTGATTATTTAATTTTCGTCCGTTCCCCTTTTGATTGCAACTTTTGTATTTTTTTCCCTTAATATCACGCATATACAGTTTTGCAGCTGCCACAGTCATTTGTGTGAAGGTACACGCTGTATCATGCTCAATGCTTCTGTGTAAAAGTCTGGGCTATGTTGCTTCTCAGTGGTGCTAATGTAAAAACCATCTGTGACTGTGTTGTTCAGCATCTAGCTATTCTGTTAGAAAACTACAGGTCATTCCCTTGGCATCTGTCTCTATAAAATGTACATTGCACAAAGTCATGATTGAAATGTACAGAGGAAACATTACACATTCACAGAAGAAAAAAAAAGTCCGATTGCTATTTTACAAGAGAAAGTGTGTACCATTCAGTACATACAAAATGTTTTAAAATCGTACATAAGTACCAAAGGCATTATGAGAGATTCTTTGGAGATGAAATAAAAGTGCAAAAAAGCCAAGGCAACAGAGCAAACTAAAGGAAGCAAAGCAGCAGCTGTCTTTGCTTTCTAAAGGACAACCAAACTTTAACGCTCAACTGAGCTCGAGATTTGTATGACCAGGAGGCCAGAGCGTGTGGCCACCTGCACCCACGCAAAGCGAAAATAGCCTCTCCCACTACGAATTTCACCTCCTAGCTCACGAGGAGGACAGACCCAGGATCCACTTTTTAGCCTAATTAAAGTCAGATCCTGTTGTAAACTGATGTCTTCAAGGTATCTCAGGGAAACTATGCCATACTCCAGCAGTGAACATACACTTTGCTTAGAAACATTTTGGGGACTTAAGTTTATCTTAAAATTGTAATGCTCTTGGATCAGGAGACAAATTTCAGGCCAATGCAAAAATCTGCTTAGTGTTCTTCTAATAGTATCCAGCAGCATTCAGTTAGAAAAGTCAATTCTTCATAGATCTAGGTTGAGCACTGAAGGATAAGTTCTACACAATCTAGATCTTATATCTGTCAAAATAGAGGTAAAATTTTAAAGCTAGATTAAACTCTTGAGTGTGATTATTTTGATGAGAATGGCAAGATCTCAGGATAGGCTGAATAGTTTGGAAAATCAGGTGCTTTGGCTACATAACTTCATTTCTTTTGCAACTCTAAGATCAAAAATGGGCTTTTGATGATGCTACTTCTCGCTCTCTTGTTTTTAAATGACTCCTAAACAGACACTTTGAAGTATGTAACTAAATATGTGGGTAAGGGTAAGACTAGGACTCACAAAGGCAGCAGGATCCTCCCTGTTGGAAGTGCCTGGTCCTGAGGGGGATCTGCTGCATGAGGGGTGCCCATTTCGCAGCAAGCAAAGCCTTTGCCCTCAGTCACTATACTTTTTTTTTTTTTTTTAACAAAAGCCAAACAAATGGTCACCTAAACCAACTGCATCCCTCTGAAGTGGGCTGTGTTGCCTTCAGAAGAGGGATTTCTCCCTGGGATGGCATTTATATATCACCCTCTATTGCAAACCTTCTTTTTTTGAAAGAAACATATTATCAAAATAGTATTTTGTTTTCTTTGTATTCACTCTCCCACCTCCAAAGAAAAAACTTTTTCCCCCTATTCATCCTAGATGCATTTTTCTGCCTTAAAGCTTGTGTGCACGTGTATGCATATACACACATACAGCAATGTGTACGAGCATGTACATGCAAACAACACACACACACTTTTGCAGCCAAAGTTGTGTTGTCCTTTTATCTTGTAGGTTATGACAAAGATAAACTGTGTACTTCATTCAATCTGTACAGAATTTACAGTTCAGATGTATAGCAATGAAGAATATATAGAAATACAACAGTTAGGTATTTTAGGGCTTGTGTGTGTTTTGTTGTTTCTGGCGTGTCATTTTAAAAAGTACTAGAACAAAATCTCACTTAGGTTTGCTTCCTGGTAAAATATGTTTTCAGAAGCAATCAAACGCAAGGTATTTCTTTAACAAAACAGGACCTTTCTTTCCTCTCTTCTTAGTTAGGTTGAGTCACATCACAAAATAGGCAGGTAACACTTTGGTGTTTAGTCAACACACATACGCTTATTACACGTAATGATATCTATCAGCATTTGGCACGTAATGTGCAATTTGTGTGCGGTATATGTGGATACTGTGCCAAAGTGACACTAAGCAAGATAAATCTCATGAGTACCATGTCTATACTGGAGAAACATCTGTATAATTTTAGTGTAAGGGGCACTGCTGCATAAGAACAGTGGCACCCACCTATATGGATTACTGATAAAAGAATAAAATATTTATAAGAATAATTTATTGAATCTCCTAAAGCATTTGATATACCACACAGCAACTGCAACTATATTTAAAGTCTGCTCGTGATTTAAAGTAACCAGCATAAACCCTCCGTTATTTCTGAGCTATATCTTGTTTTGATGCAATGTTAGCTGCAAGTCTCAGGTTTGCTACCCCATGTGTGAACTTTTGGAGGAAAAAAAAAAGAAGAAAATTCCTACTGCAAATTTCATAGGTTTGGGTCAGGTAGTGAAGAACAGTAACCAACACAGAACAGTCCATGTGCTGCCTGCTGACAGGAGCATGGGTGATCTGCAGCTCCAGAAGAGGTGCTGAGCCAGTGTGGATGACCGAGCAGGACAGAAGAGTCCTGCTATCAGAGCTTTCAAGAGCTTTCCCTTGGTCATCAGCAAGGAGTGAGCTAGGCGTCCACAGAGCATGCTCAAGGACTGAGGCCTCTACATCGACATCTGTAACAGATCCATTTCATAATGATCACTGCACATGTGAAATGCTGTTCACAGTCACTGTGTTGGTCAGATTTAAAAGATTACAGTGAAATGCTGCTTCTGCTTTACGTAGAAGTGGAGCGGAGTGTCTCCCCAAGCCCAAAGAGCCATCAGTGTCAAATGGACCTGAAATTACAAGGAGACACTTCACCGGCAGTGTGACATTCAGCCTTGGCTTTGGGCCAGAACCATCCAAACTGAAGAGTTTAGCATGGTTTCTGCCTGATATCATTAACCTGGCCTTAAAATTATAGGCTGAGCTGCCAGTGAAATCTAGCCTGAGCTTGGCATTGAGTTTTGGAAAGCTTTGCGGTTGCAGATAGCTCAAGTTTCTCAGGACTAGGCAACCAGATGCTGCTTGAACTATTCATTTGAGGCTGTATTTACAGAAGTCAGGAGAGGGTAAGATGCTTCCAGGTTCACCGGTAGCTTTGGCAATAACACAGCTTGGATTAGCTGCTTTACATTTCGCCCCATGATGAAGCTGGAGTCTGGCATGCGAAGCCACATTCATGCACCGCTCAACGAGACTGGGTTCTCGAGAGCAGCTCTTGCTTTCAGGGAGCAAAAACATCGACACTGTTAAGAGTCTGTGAGCTCTTCTCCAAGACGTTCAACTTGACACAAAAATGGGAACTCAACCCTCATCACTGTTTCACCGCAATGAGCAATAGCCAAGGGAGCAAACCATTACCAGGTGCTGTACAAATGGGCAAAAGCGGCTCCATCCCCACACTGAAAGGCTCCAGCACAGCAAACCAGGGATGTGTGGAGCCCACAATGGCTCAGTGAGGAGGCAAATAAATTGCCAATAAAAAGCAAAACTGTCACACTAGCAAGATGCAAAGGCTTCCTGGGGCATCTAGTGATGCCATGGCAAAAGGAAGTCTCAGGAATAGAGCTCTGGCATTATACGTTCATTTGTATACAGGCTGGACAAGAAACATGAGGATGTGGGCCCAGTGGCAAACTAGATTACCACAGCAGCACTAACAGATGCGAAAGATGGAAAACGCCTGCAAAGCTGGCAAACCCTGAAGGTCTCATGATAGTCTGGTATTACAGGGGAGAGAACAGTGGCAAAACACTTATTGAGATATGAAGGGAGCTCAGCACCTCTCAGTGAAAAGAGTAGAGGATGCTTCCAAAATGAATGGATATGGCACAGCTACAAGTCCCCAAGGTACCCAAGTACTGTAGACAGGAGTGGATGAAATTCCAAAGAGAGTTTCCCAGAGTTTGGGAGTCACATTCCCCCTATCCCCTGGGGCTGGGCGGCAGGCACAAATGCACGTGTACTTTGGAGTGCAATGCAGACATGCTTCTTTGGGCTGCTCAGGTTGATGCACACCAGACAACCCTACGGGAATTAAAACAGAGACATGGCAAGGCCCACACATGTGGGCTAAAATGGCATCTCTCTAATGAAGTCCAGGCGTCTGCCCAAGACATTGCTTCCCTTCCTCTCTGCCTGCTCCTCCAGCCCTCAGGAAGGGCTGTCTAGGATGCTCATCTCCGGAGGCATCCAGGTGGAAAGGAGGTTATACTATATACATCCAACACAGTTCTTGTTTTTTCTTTTTTCTCCCCATGTATACATTTCTGTGAACCGTTAGTTACATGTGGTTTTTTTTTTTTTTTTTTTGCCCCTTAGTTACATGTAGTAGCAGTGGAAGTTGTGCATGCTGTATCAGAGGGATGGGGCAATGGTCAGTCACAGCATCAAAGACACTTGGTATATCAGTGTTACCTACAGAAGCACCGCAGCGCCCTACGGGATGGGGCAGCGAGAGGAAGTCCTCGCCTAGAAATGACGCTTTTGGCAATGTGACCTCTTTAAGTACTACAGCAATCTGGGAGTGCAGCTACAGCTGGAGCATATCGCTGTCTACTCGTCTCAGGCTGCATGCAGCAGCAGGCAAAATTGAGAGTACAGTCAGTGAGATAGTCTGGAAAGCACATTCATACGTTAAAAAGGAACAGGCTGCTCCTCCTGCAGCAGCCGCTCCTTGCTGCTACCTAAAGTATGAGCGTGATTAATACGGTATCAAAAAATGTGTGTAATCCTTCCCTCTAGACACTAGTATAAGGCAAGCAGTATTGTGTCACTGGGGCATCAAACACTAAGATATACTAAAGAAGATTCCTATGTACTATTATTATAATTATTATTTTAAAAACCCTATTTAAAAAAAAAAAAAACAAACCCAAGGCACAGCCTTGCTCTAAAGAGCGTTCACGCCGTGCCTCGGGAAAGTCGGGGTGTTTGCGTTTCACACCACCGAGGAAGTGACCGCACAAGGCTCGGAGGGGCTGCCGCCCTCCGGCAGCTCGGCGATGCCCCGCCGCCTCTCGCCCTCGATGTTACTGGCAGGTGAAGGAGCTTTTGTATCTGATTTCCTTGTTTTTGGTCTCATGAAAAGGAAGCTTACCAAAAAAAAAAAAAAAACCTGAGAAATTATTGACCCAAGAGGGAGGATGAGGGCAAAAAAACCCAACAAAAAACAAACCCCAGCAACTCACTGCTATGGATCTTTATATGGGACAATTCTTGGTCAGATTCCTTAGGAATTTCTCATGAAGGGGAGTCCTGAAGTAAGCTACTGTCACCTTCTGGTTTCCCATAGGGTGAATTTTCCACAGAGCCATAGTAATTGCTATTCAGGCAAGAGGAAAAACCTCCTGCGGGAGAAGCAGGGTTATCCTGCAGCAGCTCCACCGGTTGCGTGCCCTGGCCGGCCCCGGGAAGGTGCTGCCAGCACGGACTAGCCCACGCGGCACTGGGCTGCTGCAGCCAAACTCGGGATTTCTTCCTTCTGGTCTCCGCAGGACAAACACTTTAGTTCCTCTTAAAATATTGTCATGCCATGCATTTCATTAGTTTGGCCTTGTGTTTTGCAGTAATGTTGTGGTGACCACAGCCGTCCAGGGATGTAACAGAAATGAGGTTTGCAACAATTCCCTCTTGAGAAAAATATTAGCAAAAATGTTTTTCCTTTCTCTTGGGTAACTACTAGGCAAGTGAACACTTTATCTGTGGAGATGCTCTGGCTTCTCAGGAAGATTATACAAACTTGTTTTAAAAATGTATATAATTTAAAATCTTAAAAATCAATTAAAAAAGTAAAAATATACCTATTTGTCTGTAAATAGCAATGACCCTGCTGAATTTAGTTGGATCAACTAAGCAGCATTAAAAAAAAAATTTTTTTAGAAAAACCTGATCTACCACATAGTTTGCCTAAAGAAACGTAATGGCTGTCTGCGCTGAACAACAGTTTATTTTTTCTTCAGCAAATTCCTTGACATTTTTGTTTTAAAAGTTATTAATAAGAAAATGAGCCAACAAGGAAATTCAAATACAAAACCTGCACTTGAGTAACATTAAAGTCCTTTCCCAAATGTTGGGAAATTCAGCGAATTGCTAGAGGTCTGCTCCTAAGTCTCAGGGTCCCGTTACAAAAGGCCACGTGCAGAGAGCTGGTCACGTCCCCCGCCACGGCTCCCGCTCGGAGACGGGAGAGGACCGGGCAGCTTGAATCCACACTTGGACATGAAGCTCCCGAAAACTGTCTGTGGCTCCAGGTCCAGATTTCAGGGATGTAATATTTCTGACCAGACCTACACTCAGATCCTTTAAAAAAAATCCCCAAAGTTTCCTGGAGAGCAGATCCTGGGCTCTGGGCAGGGGCCGCGGCTCTGCTGTCTGCACAGACGTGCACCGAAACCCCGGCTCCGGGTGCCCAAACACCTCGGAGCAGCTGAAAAAACAGCCTGCCGCAAATTTGCCCCACGCTTTTTCTTCAGCTCTCCTCAGTTTGTATCCAAACTTGTTTTATCTAAAACTTGCTTCTGTCCTTTGGCGTTTTCCAAAAACTACAGAAGGGGACATGGGAAGAAGAGGGCAGCAAAGCCCAGCCTGACACAGGCTCAGCAGAGGGACAAGGTTTGCCTGGAAATTTTTTTGGTTAAACATCTTTCATGTTGGGACTCCCTTATTATACCAAATTCTAATATTTTATTTTAATTTAGTGATTAGGATTTTTCTGGGAGACTTACTACCTACCAGGAGTGTGTCCTACGGGCACGGGAGAAGCAAGAGGTGGAAAGTGAAGACTTTGCAGGGAATACTGGATTATGATTCAGATCAGGGAAAAAAAGATTTATGTTTATAAGCAACAAATCCTTTAGTTAGGGAAGGCTCTGTTCTCATTTATGCACGCATAATTCAGCTTCACTGAAATGAAGAGCATTATTTGGGGTTAATTCTGTTGTAAGTTAACCCCAAAATCAAGCCTTTTTGCCTGGATGAATGAGAAGTGACACTTTATAGCGTGGTTGTGGACGGGGGTGTGTGTGTGTGGGTGTGTGTGAGAATTTCTACGAAATGATGCTGGGGATAAAGGTGGAATGTTTCTTACATCTTCAAAAAAAGTTCTCTGTGAAATTTTTAACAACGAGATACAATCTGTGCTGCACATATACAAAACCTGTTTTCTATTAGCACTGATTGTGGGACAAATCCAATACCTTTTAAAGCTACAAGTTAGGAGAACTTTATAAATACTAGCACTTGAAGAGGGAACATACAATTCTACCTTCTCGATCCTTAAAGGACTGAGAAATGAGAATCTGGACCTTTTTTTTTTTTTTTTTAATAAGGTATCAGACTGCCAGATTTCAGCATGTGGAGAGGATACAGTGGGACCACTCCTCCTGAGGACACATGCAGACGGGTGGCATTACCTGCTTTCAAGAGTGTAAGATCATCTAGGCTAAGAAAGGGACTTTGCAATAAGAACTGTAAATGGGTATTCAAAATAGAAGTAATGGGGTTTCAAAGTTAGGACATGATGAAAATTGCACCATACAGAAATTGTGCCTTGATGTCCTGTTAACTTTGCTTCCAGTCTCAGGGTCTCTGTTAAAATCCTGCCATTTACCTATGCTGTAATAGGACTGCACAACATCATCCTCACCCTCATCCAGAGTTACTACCTTTATATCATACCCTTCTGTGCCAAATTTCCAACAGGCCTCAAAAAGGCACTTTACACTAGCATGTGCAAAGGCAAACACTTGTTTGCTCTGACTTGGGCAACATTAGCAGTGAGCAGCTGCCTGGAGCAAGGTGGATTTTTCCCTTACCCAATGCCATTTCCATTCTTGGGGTCAACTAGAAAACACGTCACTAAGTCTGATTTGGGACTTGCTGACATTTCTTGCTCTACCAAAAGGCATCTCATTTTGCAACACGCCAAGGGCAGATTTGCACAATTTATAACCATTCTGCACTCCAAAATGAAAGGTTTCTCTTTACGGAAGTCAAGTGTATCACTGGCTTCACTTTGTAGAGAGAAATCTGGAGCCAAAGGGAGCTTGGGAGCACAAGCAGAGAGGGGAATATAGACTGAAAGGGAAGGAAGGGACCTAGCAGGACTGTAAGTCCAAGTTCCCCCTAGGAAAAATGTTTTTCCCTCCTGAATGGAAAAAAATGACTAGAAAAATTATGCAGAGCCTTTCCCTACTCCTTACTCCCACGGGAAGATCTATATGCTGGTCCTTACCTGGGGCAAAAGGATGTTTTTATTTTCTGTCTACAAGCTCTCAGACTCCTTTCCTGCACACACACATTCTCTAGGGGTCATAGGAGTCCTGCGTCTCCCCTGGCTGCTGCCTCTTGCCAAGCAAACAGGAGGAGAGAAAAACGCCATGATTCTCCCTTCACCCCAAGAAAGTCATTACGTAGCCTCTCAAAGGCCACACAGAAATGGAGTTGTCACCTAAATATCCTTAACAACCTCTTGATACGACACGGGGATAACGTGGAGACGGGGTTTGAAATCACGGACACGGCCCTGACTCCACTGCACAAAACACACGCGGGATGTGGGCTGCGGATGGTCCTCCTGGGAGGAATCAGAGGCACAACACTGGCCGTGGTGGCCCAGCCTGGGCGATGGATCCCAAAACACACTGGCAGATTTTTTTCTTAATCCATCCCCTTGCAAGAAAAAAAAAACCCTATACAGGTCTTTGATAGTTAAAGGATCACTTTGTGGCTTTGTTTTGGTCCCAAAAGAAACTTTGAGCATTGTTTTCCCCTTGCCTTTCCCCAGCTGAATGCGCTGCTGAGGTTCCCAGTAACGACACAATGATCTTGCCAAAAGAAAGTACTTCAAAAACAACACAACTGGGCAGACTTGGATTGGCACAATTTTTGGGGCAAGCACAGGTAAGAGGCTTCTAAAAGACCAGGAAGAAACAAAGAAGCACCTCTTAACTCAACTTGAGGGATCAAAACAAAACTGGAAGGATGTCCTGAGGACATCGGTGTGAGAGTTTTAGCAGGGAAGAAGAAGAGAGGGAAGATTTTTTTGTGGGGCATAGTGTGTGTGCAAAAGTGTTCAGGCACAATGCAGACTGTGTAAGAAAAGGGCACTGCTCTGGACAGCAGGGCTTCAAATGGCCGGAGCTCAGCACTGAGCCCGCAGCAGCGTGGGCACCACAACATCCAATGCATCGCCCTCTCCCTTCAGCGCCACGCGGCTGTGGCTCCACAGCAGCACTGCTGGCCACAGCCTATGAGAATGGCTTCACCCCCATAGCAACCTCTAACCACCAGCCCTCACCTGCAGAGCCCTTCACGACATTTCCATGCGTTATACTGGAATTATACCACCTTCCTGATGGTTAATGACGAATCATGGACTAAACTAACAGTCCTCCAGTAATTACCACATAACCTGAAAGCTAAGCCAGAAACAACCATGCGTTCATTCTGCAACTCCAAAATGTGTAAAGGTGTAATCACCAAAGCCATGGCATGGCAATTCCCACGTGACATTTGTCAGCCACCAGTTACTGTGACCTTCAAAAGCCCTGGCTGAGTGATTCATCTGTGCCCTGCATCTTAAAAGTTTACAAAGAAATGTAAATTGCCTACCCTGCACCATGAGAATTTCACCTAATGATCTTAGAAAGACAGTACGAAAGAAATCCAAACTCTTCAAGGCTCTAGTTAGCTCACCACAGTGGCCTCTTCCACAAATGCAGGCTCAGACCTGCTCCCTCCCGCCCCCAGAGTAAGCTGCAAGAAAGTATCCGCCAGCTAAGGATGTCCTAGATGGAGGAAAACCTTAGCTGTCAATCCCCTTGAGAAGTTCAGCGCATGGACAGCTTGAGCGGGCAGCTGGCCACTGCTCAGACTTGGCTCGGTGGGTGCTAGGAGGTTTCACTGTCTGGGGGCCGACCAGCCCATGTCACTGAAGGGTCCCTCACCCGTGGCTGACCTGGGTGGAGGGCCGCAGGGTGTGCAGAGGTCAGAATCGGTGTCTGATTCCCCTTCTGCAATGTAGGGTCTGATTTTGGCCACAGCTGCATAGCAACCGTTGTTAAGGATGTCCAAATTCTCTTTGGACTGGGAAATGCTAAAGCCGCTGAAAGAGCGCTCCAGTTCCTCGTGGTCTACTGAGGGGATGGAGATGGATGTGTCGCTGTCTCTCATGGCACTCTCGTGGTGCTTGGTTGTAATGTCTTCGTTCCTCAGATACTCTGCGCTCGCCCTGTTCCCACCACTGTACGCTGACAAGGAGCGCTCGTGTGAAGGCGGAGGTGGGATTCGAACCAGCGAGCCGGGGTCTCCGACAGGAGAGGAGCCGTGGCTCTGTCGCTGGTAGGCCTGCTGCTGGCATGATGTCGAAGGCGGGCATGTGTTGGTCGGGGCTGGTGGAGCAGAGAAGTTCTTCTGACCCATGGAGCTGGTGGACCTGATGATCTTGATGATGCAGCCGTTCTTGTCAATGTGCTCCCTGCTCTCTTCAGGGCTGTGGTAGGGAGGTGCTGGGTCTGGTTCTTTGGACCCAAAATAGGCTTCCGTCTCTGTTGGTGGGATACCCATCCGCTGCATGTAAATGTTCACCAGGAAATCCAGTTTCTTCTCCATCGACTGAACCTGCAAAACACCACAGTTGCAGTGTTATATACCTCTGGCTGAACCAAATTAACATCCTGTGTATGAACAACTTCCAACTCCCTCTAGGGTATAAACATGGGTCTGGATTTCATAGATGACCTCTGCCACAGTGAGCGAAATCAAATGGGAATTTCATTAAATATTTAATTGTCCTACTCTGAGACCAGCTTTAATTCTCCACCTGTTTGCAGTGTTTTCTTTAGGCTCCTGTGATATTTGTGACATGCATCGGATTCCAGGAAACCTGGAGGACAATCCATCCTTCTGGCGCTTTTCAGCTCCTCACGGTATTTGGCACTTGCCTGGGCTCAGATGGTCATGGGGATTTCTCGGCCTTGTATTCTGGGAGGAATTTCACCTGCTACAGCTGTCAGGCTCCCAGATATGTGAAATCCATCTTATTGAAGGGTAAAAGCATCCACGTCGAAAAGGAACCAAAGCTCTGTTTTTCAAAAATAATTCAGACACTTGGTCTCATAAAACAAGGAAGGAGGTCTGTAAGAGACAGATTCCAAAGTGCCTAAATCTGTTTTGCAAGTAGTATCAAGCTTTTTACGACATTTAGTGCCCTTCCACAATTTTTTCCTTGTTTCTTTTTCAAGATATTCTTAGCTCTTACTTTTTTTCTAACTGGCAATATCCCACTGCGGGGGGATGACAGGAAAGCAACACAGTACATGCAATATCCTCTGATATACTCCAGCCCCAATGTACCTGTTTTTCAACTTTTCCAAGCCTGCCCATCATGCTCGGGTCTTCAGGCAGCTCTCCCTCTGCCGGCCCTTTGGTCCGATCCTTGTCCGTCATTGAGGATCCTCTTCCAACAATCTGGTCAACTCTAGCGGGATCAGAAAATCCCCCCACCCCCGGAAAAGGACCTGGAGTCAGTCAGAGACAGCAGGCAAGGAGGGCTCTGCTCGCCGTCCCTCCACGGGACAAAGCGACAGCCTCTCTCCCAACTAACACTCCAAATTACTCACAGACACGGAGTGGCACTGAAGTGTTAATTTAGATGCAAAATTCAGAGCGGTATTAGCAGAGTTTTAAATGATCCATTTCTGTTTATACAGATAAAATCTGGCACATTATGCACAGTAAATTTACCCACTGCAAAGAATTTCTCTAACTGGCTCTCTTCCAAACCAATTAACTTTTAATTTGTACTGACGAATTATTATTTTGGGGGAAGATCAAGTTTTCTGTCTAGCATATGTCAATGAGCTTTTTTCAATCTCTGCAGCAGCTTCCCCGCCTCAATGCAAATGTACGTGTGTAATTCTCATGTCCAAGTAAATGAGACTCTTACACTAAGACCCAACAAACAGGTGCAATGCTAATCAGTTTAGGGGAATTACATCAAAGCTGAATTTGGTCATTAAGCACCAAACATTACAAAATTGTCTTTTTTTTTTTTTTTTTTTTTCCCAACTTGCAGTTGTATCATGAGATTTTTTCTGTTAGCAGGACTCCAAGCCAGTAACAGCAGAGGATACACCTACTGGGCACATTGACTAACTCAGTTACACATTACATTTGCAATTCCTAGTTCCCAGTTTTGGAATACCTGGTTTGACATAGAGCTCCATCTACAGAGAGGAGGAAGGAGGGCAGGGCCAGATTGGAGGCTGGAAGTCAATTTTATTTGAGGCATCAAATCCAGATTTTCTGGAGAGATCCTTCAAAAGTCAGGAGAGCAAATCAGTCTTGGAACATGTTCTTAATGGTAGCCCGATGTATAAGCTAATTCTAAGCCAGGCAAACTTTACTCTTGCATAATGCACCAAATGTAAGGATGGCAGGGGAAGAAAGGGTTAATTAATCTGACTGAAACCAAGTTGAGGTATCTGGAGCGGAAAACTCAAAATGCTTCTTACGCAGTTCTGCCGTGTGGGCCATGGGTCCATGCACCAGGAAGTGGAAAAGGAAGGCGCTGAACACAGACAGACAAGGGAAAATGAACAAACAAAAACCAAGGAAAGGAATGAGACGTGAGGCCATTTCCAACAAAACAGCCATCTAGTTTCTTTACATTTAACAGGGCCTTAAAATACACGTTCGCTGTTGACATAAAGGGACGGAATCAGTGGGTACAGATCAGTGTGGCTCCCCTGGCTTATATTAGAGTGACAGCAGTTTATATCACCAGAAGCTCTGGCTCAAAGAGATGGAGTGGAAGAACATAGCACACCAAAGACAGAAAATACAAGCCAACCATTATTTTGGAGTTCATCTTTGATCCCAGAAGATACTTCATTTGGGCAGGGATGTGACAGAATACTGTTGTTTTTAAAAAGTCATGTTCGATCCTTTGCTTAGCAATATAAGCGCAGGAGTACAAGGAGCACCAAGTGCTATAATTACAAGCGTGAGGAATATGCATGCCTTATTTCTCTCTTGTAATGGGAGAAGCATATTATTCACATGTACAGGAACTCCCCACAAGGGATGCAATTACTGACATGACATACATCACAAGAAATCCTACAACAACGTTGTTACCATGTAAGCAAAGAGGTATTAAAGCGGATACCTCGGGCTACCTGGGTTTGGAATCACAAGTCAAGGCGTAGTACAGCCACTCTACGAACTCCTCTCCTGTATGCACAAGCAAGTAGACTAGTAAAACAATGAGCATGCATTTAAAGAGGCCCAAAGTCTTATCACTACTGGATATTTGGGAAGGCTGAGAGAAAACAGAGGGTTCTCTGTCCTCGTGTCACATCTAGCACAGTGCTAACACTGAAATGTGTCCACTAATGAGAATGAAATGTCCTTCAACAGTTGCTGAGTAGAGAAGGGAGGCAGGACAGACTGTAACAGAGAGAGTAAACCTGAATATAGCCGTGCTATGGTGTATCACAATAGCAGAGATATTCCTTTGCAACCCTACTTCTAATCTTGCAGAAGCTGAGGAAGAACTTCTACTCTCTTCTGTGTTCTTCAGAGAAGAGCTATGCGGCAAGTTGGCCTCACGTGACCCATGTAAAGCACAGTAGGCCTGGTAGCATTTCACAAACCTAACGATCACTGGCATCTTATTTAAAGACTTCCTCCGCCACCTTCAGGCTGATCATGACTTGCCTGTAGACCTACTGTGATATAATAGCAGGACTAAAGCCCTTCACAGAAGGCATCCCTAAAGCACTCAGAAGCCCTTGCCCCTGTGCCATTGATACCAGAGCCTTTCAGTCTCGCAGGTGCAATCCTGCTTGACAGGACCACTCACATCACGGCTATGCTTTAATCCATCCTGACTACTGAAGTGGTCATCTCCTGCAGCTGAGAAACCAGAGAGCCTGATCTCGCCTCAGAGGCACGGTCTGCACCGAGCACAGCACAGTAGGAAGCTGCAGAACACTGATCTCAGCACAGAGAGGGGCAGACAAAGCTGAACTGACCACTTCTCTTGGTTTCTGGCCCACTTCACGAGCGGGGCAGAGGGAGAAACCAGGCTTGAGGTCTTCCTCCTCTTTGCTTCCCACAGCAGAAGCTAGACACCAGGGGAGAGTGTTCCTACCTTCGGCAAAGTGCGGAAATTTCCTTTGTGCATTGTCTGATAAAAGAGGAGATGAGAGGAACTTCCCTGTGCTCTCCCAATCCATCTGTGCCTACCTAGGCACCACAAAGACAAAGCCATCAGCAAAGAGCAAAGGATTCTTTTAGCCATTAGAAAAGAGCTCAAGGTCTTGTCTAAATTGGGCAGCAAAGTTCAAAAGATGAAGACAGAACATAGCCAACCTTTGCAAGCAATGGTGGAAAGTGTATGTTCCTACTGTGTGACAAGGGACCACGAATCTTCCTAAGGATGCCAAATCCCACTTATGCACTACATTCCATGGGGAGGCTTGTGCCTTCCCAACTCTTGTCTTGGCTGCGTTGAATACACACATGCGCAGGGAAGAATTCAGCTGAGGCTTTAGAAGAATCAGGCCCCTGCTTTTCCTGTCGTGGCAGAAGAGGATTCAAAGATCTCTAAAGATGCATGCTGAACCATACCATCTGCTGCCTTTGATAGGCTCTGCTGTGCCCTTAGTTTGGGACGGAGGGAAAAGGGGGTTGTTCTTTGATGTGGACTTTGATATCTTTCCTTCTTTCTAATGATACAAAAAAAAAAAATCTTGCATCAGCCACAGTGCAGGTTTTCTCATGCTTCATTATGCTTCATGCTAACAACACATGCAAAGAGGTGTAGTATGTCACCCTTGGGCCAGAAGCAGACATCAAAAGGTCAAACGGCTCAAATGAGATAAAAATGAAGTGTTTGGGAATATATATTCAATTCTTTTCTGTTTTCTTTTCCTTTTATAATTTTTTTACACAATCCAAGCATTGAAGCCAAACCCCCTTCATCCAGGTCACATGACTAGCTACTTACCTTCTTATCTGGCAACAAAGTTTGCTCCAGACATGTTTTGAACAATATCTGATGTCTAAATATTACAGCTGAGGTTGCATCTGTTTCAAAATGGGTCTGTGTTAAATCATCTGCACAGGAGAATTTAGTCCAGCTTCTCCGTGCGTATAGCACGGAGCAAACACCTCTGGCCAAATTGCCAAATTATGGCCACAGATAGACATTAGCTTCCAGTTGCCTTCGCTGCGAGTTATCCATATAAACCTTCCAGTTGAGCTGGACCCTTGGTACAGCCCATGGGGCTGAGATAGCTCACGGGACATCACTCGGTTTTGTTTCTCTTCCCTCACTGGATGTTTTGTCCTGATTTGGGCAGCATTTGGCTAAAACAGAGGAGTGCAATTGAAAATGGAGAGGTCAGTGCAGTGCCTGGGTACTGCACGGCATGTGAAGAGCCTGGCCATCTGCAGTGCGTTGAGGCCTTTGGTGCAGCTCGGCTCCTTTTCACAGCCTCTCAGCCACAGCTCAGTAAAGAAGATATCAGAAAATTCTTTAAAAAAGGGAGCAATTATAAGGAAACTTCCTAATGTCCCAGGAGCCTAGTGGGCATTTAAAAACAGATTTTTTTAAATTGGCTCTAAGTATTAGAAACTGCAAAAAACAGAAGAAAAAAAAGGCACTAACATTAATCCGAAACTGTAAGAGAATTGGAGTGAGTAGAATAAATACTCCTGTTTGAGGCTATGGATGTCCCTCAATCCATCAATCGCTGTTTCAGTGTCTGAGGTGCAAGGTTTCACATGGAAATCTCACCTCTAACGAAAGCTTGCTGCACACCTAACCTTCTGGGCAGATATAACAAAATCCATCTGAATAAATATTTTTATTGTAATATCAAAATGTTGCTACAAATAAGAAATTTATTTCATTTTTAAAGACTAGTTTTGGGTCTTATCATTTGGGGGAAGGAGAAATGCAATCTCTTCAATTTCTCAAAGCACTTTTTCCAAGCATAAAGCTTGGTGCTTCTGGAAAATTCACTATATGTATATGTAAATATATATATGTGTGTGTGTGTATAGAAGAAGACTGAAAAAGTGCTACTAAAGAAACTGATGGTTATTGATGACTGTACAAACATATTTAATCTTTGAGCCAGCTGAGTGGCAAAAAGTAAGCTTTCAATATTTTTTTTACTCACATTCCTTTGGTGAAGATTAGCCAGAGCTGCTTAAATGAAAATCAAGAGATTTGTCATGTATTAGCTCTTAGCGAGGACAAGTATATTTAGAAAAAATATTCGAGGCTAAGATTGCTGCATTTAAAAATCACCTATTACTTGTACATGGAAGACGACTTCCTGTCAAATATGTGCACCGGCCTCTGGGCTCTGGTGGTTTTGAGACAAGGTGAGAATTTAGCTCAAAGCGTACTCATCTCCTTCTTTGAAATTCAGAGCCCCAAGTTGCCTGCCATCGTCCCACCGACCAGCTTCACCAGAGAATGCCCTAAAACGGGCACTTAGGTGAGAACATGCTCCTCGCAGAGTCAGGTCAGAGGCACAGTTTTACCCAGGGTGAGGATTTGATAAAGGCAATGAGAAAAAATCTCGCTTATTGATTAACGGCTGAGTTTGACTCCTGCTTTTCTTTTTGCATGCAAAATGAGGATCTTCTTTGGAAAATTAAATACATGGCTATAATGTTTTTAATACAATCTTTTCTCTGTGGTCAACAGAGTTGCATCAGCAAGAAAAAGAGACCACTACATTTATCAGGTATAAAACACTTCATTCTTATTTTGCCCACTGAAATAAACTCATTTCAAAGTACAAAGAGCTGCAAACAGAGGTTCCTTTGCTTGCATATAATGTGAAGTGTTTCATCTTTTAGAAAGTAGACTGTTTAGTTTATACTGGCTTTGTGGGGAAATATTCCATCTTCCTACATTTGAAGACAATCTGATAAAATATGAGATTATAAAAAGATATGATTTTCCTATCAAACACCTAGAAGAAGACTGAAAAAGTGCTACTAAAGAAACCGATGGTTATTGATGACTGCACAAACATCCCTTTTTCCTTTGGCTTGCCTAGTGTGAGAGCCCATTAGTGAAAGTTAATCAGAGTGTACCTAGTGTAGCAAGCCCTTCAGAGTCACGATTTAGCAAGCCGCATTGCTAAGTGATCAATGCCGTCATATAACTGGCATGAAAGGGGTTTGACATTAAGCAAATGAAAAATTCAGAGAAAGCGGCATTTTGGTGAATCCTAACCTAGGCGAGTATTGGGGAGATTCTTTAGAAGAATACATGGGTCCTTTGGTTGGATACTTCTTATGCCGGGGAGTTGAAGGGGGCGGGGGACCCACAATCATATCTATCCTGGCAAAGTAAATAAGAAAAAAGACACCAGCAAAATGCATAATGAAGCAACATGTAGAGAAAAGTTGGTCAGAAAGTTGCAGAAAGAAACAACTGAAAAACAGAACAACAGAGAGAGAAAGAGAGAGAATCTGAAAATATATTCCACTTGAAACAGAACGCACTCCTCTGTCGCCTGGCTGTTGGTGAAAGGCAGAATCTTACCTGACCCGAGGTAAGATTCGGAGTTAGGTAACACAGACATGTCACTGCCCGATACTAGGAGATTCCCCCCCAACGTGTAATAGGAAACATGCTTTACCCTCTGGAATATATTTGCATATTTGTAGCAATATCCCGTTGAAACAGTTGGACACAGAGCACATATTCTCTTTTCAATTACAGTGCTATATAACACATCCTCAGCTAGTTCAGAAAAGCAAGAGCCATTGGAGTCAACGAGATAGGCTGCAGGACTTTGTAACTCAATGGGTGGAAGACATCCATGGATGGCAAGGTGTCAGGATGAGACACAAAACAGGCACAGTACTGAAAAGAACACATTACACACACACCACAGTGACAGAGGCATTCATGATTAAAGAGGAAAGTGCATGTAAACACCCCAGAAATTTGCTTGAAAACAGCTTTCATCCAACAAAGCCCTGGCTAAGGGAGGTCATAACCAGCCCTGCAGAGCTGAGCTGGCAGGGAGAACACATCGCTTTGACTTCCGGAAAAAAGGGAAAGACACAGATGCCACTCTCGCCTGAGCTGCGCTGTGACAACCTCCCCAATTCCGCTGCTGCCTTTCGGGCCAGGGTCAAGTCAAGGCTGTTGGACACGCTCCATGTTCACGCTAGGGCCAGGTGATCATGCCACGGCTGCCCTCCCGACACATCCCCTCGTCTAGAGGCTGCCACTTTCCAGTTTTAGTACCTGAAGTCAGCTAGGAGATCTCTTGGTCCCCGTTTGGCTGCGATGCTCAGTGCATCCAAGGCGAGCACGGGCTCTGCTTGTTTTCCCACCACTGATCTGCCCAACGGACACAGCCGTGGGGTTGGCAGGGATTTGGGGTCTGGTTCTCAATGTGGGACACAGAGGACTGAGGGATAAGTTGTCAGATTAAAAAATTTAGCTGGGATCCCCTGTTCAGGGGATCACATTCACCTGCTCTTTCGAGGGAGAAATAATTGGGTGATCATCATGGAAAATGAAATTTTAAATACCCTTCTCAGTTCTCTCTCAATTGCCCAGCCCTGAGTCCCTTTTTCATGTCTTCCCCTATTCAAACTAATTCATCTGCCCTTAACATTTCAGCGCAGAGGATGAAATCCAGCTCTGTTAAACCACAGCTATGTCAGTGGGCCTAGATGTGAAATTCCCTTCTGCGTGTATGCTCTTCAGGCCATGCTCCAGACGAATTCCTCCTAAAAGAGCCAAGAGGACCTATCACCTGCAGGAAATCACTGCTTCCTCACTGCCACCTCTGCTCTTAGAGGAGCCTCAAAACCAGCACACCTGGATATCAGATTTATTTTGTATTGCTTCCAGAAAGGTAGCAAATAAGCCATTTTCCCCTTTGGACCGTGGCACTGAATCCTTGCTATCCTGCAGGGAGCAGCGTGTTTCAGCCCATGCCCTGTCCTACCTACACGATGCACTAAAACAACAGAAGTTGCTAAAGGAAACCCTGGTGGGAGGATGCGCTGCAAATGCCATGTTTTGTGCAGGTACCGACACTACAGGGAAGAGGGAGAAATCTTTCTAGACCTCCCTGGGCAGCGCTGGAGTGGACAATAAGGCAGTTTTATTGGCGTGGCACCGCTGCTTGCTCTATGTGTGCTCCCTGCCACCGCCATCCCTGCAGGTCCCAACCACAAACACAAATGTTTTCCTTTAGAACAAAAGAACAAAAAAATAAATTGTTCCTGCAAAGGAAAGCGTGTCTATCACGGCAATACCCCCATGATGAACAAAAGCAGTAAAAAAATGAAGCAAGCAGAGGAGTCTCTTGCCTGGACTGAAGGTTTTTAATCCGGGAGAGCATGTCCAGGTGCCCAGCCGAATACTGTTCGATGACGTCCATCACGTCATAGGGCCGAAGGCTCTCCTTAAACTTGCGCTTGGAGACGAGAAATCTCATAATGCTGCGGGGAGAGAGAAGAAAAGGCAAATCTAGTCTCTGGGCTGGGGTCTGACCTGGCTAGCCGCAGATAAAAACGCTGCGGGGAGCTCCTTTGGAAGGAAAATGGAACAAATTGCAGCCCTGTGGGTTTGGAGAGGATGCGGCAATAGGTGGGATCCGCGGGGGGTCTCACGGCGCAGTTCTGGCTGCGAAGGGAGGCCGCAGGCGCCCCTCGGACCATCAGCTGCACGAGCCGCCTCGCTGCACTGCTCGTGGAAACGTCAGCGTTAAAGCCCAGCACCAGCAGGAACGCTGATCTGGATGTGTCACTGCAGGGGATTTTCCTGTTTCTCCACTTTTTCCTTCCCTCAGTAAAAATCACTCTTCCGCATAGAATTTTCTACGGAGGAGGCCAGGCCACCCAGGGGAAAGACAGCCAGCAACACGGAGATTTCAGTATTTTCCACCTCTGCTGGACTTTAAATTTCCCCCCCCACCGTGTCCTTTATTTTCCTGACCACCGTCCTCTTCTCCCGCTCTTACCACACTGCCCTGATGCTGACTTTCAGTCCCGGCGTCAAATCTTCCGTCACAAACTCACAGTTGCAGCTTTTGTTCTCATCGGGAATGTCTTCTCCGGGCAGGCTTGCTTCTGGGTTCGAAAGGGGGAGCAATAAGAGCCCGCGCGTTACGACTTGCGCAGGGAGGACGAGCCTGACGGCTGGCGAACAGCAAACGTGGGGACGGCGCCGGGGCGCGTTTGCTGAGCATCCCCCAGCACCCTTCCCTGAGCCAGGCTAAGGTGACATCCAGCAATGCCAGCTGCTGCTCTGTCTGTCTCGAAGGGCTTCAGACACCTGACCGTTCCTCTCCCCCATCCCTATATACATAAAACATTACCGTGGGTGTTAGCGGGGATTTTTTCCCTTGTTTATCCCCTTCCTGTCCTGAAAGCTAAAGGGCTGCAAGGGGAAAGTCCTATGCCACTGCCACCACTCGCGGCTCTCGGTGGGATTGGAGAGGGTGGCTGGGGACTGGTTGGGGACCAGCTGGGGACCCGGGCTCCGGTGCGGTGCTGAGCAGCCACCCCACGGTCTCACCTTCCGAATTCTGCCGCGACGCAGCTCCCTTGATGCGGAAGGCTTGGCGGGCTCGGCTGCGGTCCCCAAAGCTCCAGCTTTTGGGCACTTTGCTGGGGCTGTCCTCGATGCTCTGGTCAGCGCTGGGGGATCTCCGGATGCCCTGAGCCTGTGGAGAGCCTTTCCCTTTGGTGCCAGCACCGCGGGGACTGGAGAACACACGATCTTTCAAACTGACCTTCTGACTGTTCAGAGAAACACGGTGAAACAAAGACAAAAAGGAGACAGCAGGAGGAGTCATTCTGGAAACCACGCAGTCCTTCCCCACCAGCCAATAGAAACCAAGAGCGCTTCGAAGCAGCAGTGAGATGTAGTTTGGCCGTTGGCACTTTTTTTTTTTTTTAAATCATTTTATTCGCTTTTTGCTTTTTGAGAAATTGCTGTAGAAATGTTTCCACCATAATGAGTGAGATGGGAATGATTATCAAGAGAGAAGAAATAATGAGGACTTAAACAGAAGCCCCTAGTGGGATGCCAGGGCTGGCGGGACAGAATGACGTTAAACAATGAGGTTATGATTCCTTAAATCACTGATCGGGGCCGATCAGGGGCTAGGAAGCTTTTCTTTCACAACTGCCTTCCAAAATCCTACAGCCAATAAGAAAACACTAATAACAGCCTTCATCTTCAACTTTTAACTTTTCTTGGAAACACTTCAATTCTAGTGTTCAGACCTGTCCTTTCCCCTTCTTCATGTCCAGTCTTTCCTCCCTCCAAAAACACGATCTGACCTTTTTAAGTTTTCAGAAGAATTCATCCTTTTCCAGTTATAAATCTTAAGTGAATACTTAAATATGCAACTCCCGTATTTCCTAGAAAGATTCAATCTAAAAGCCAGCTAAGATTGATCTGCAAGTCTGGTTTGGGTACCATAAATATTTCAAGTAAAATTTTACTACTTCAGAATATTACATTTCATTGTTGTTTCTCTGTTAGAATCCTATTTCTTTAAAAATATGCTGATTATTGTTTAAAAAGATCACTCTTGCAACAGAGATGATCTCACTGAGAAATGGTCTTCTGAGCCAGCTTTAATTATTCTCAGAATTTCAAAATTTGAAATTAGAAGACTTTACCCAAATGAAGACGATGAACTTTCACATGAAAATTGCAAAAAATAAAATAATATTATGAGACTTCATGAAAGGGCAAACTTTACAGAGACAGCACTGGCAGAACCAAACTGCAAATAGTTTTAGATAATTTGATCTTTTCTAAAGAGCAATTGATTATCAAAATATATTAACTGAGATTAGACAACCACCGCTACACACTTGTGCATGTAGCTATCAGCTTATATATGGGCAAGTCAAAACCGAGTAAAAAGAAGGATTTAATTTCCAAGTACTCTCTAGCACTGCGACAACCACTTATCATTGTGGGGCGAAAGATCTGACTCAGTCTGAGGGAAGAACACTGCAGGAATTTTGATGTCCACATCAAATTTCCAGGTCGCCAACCAAAGACATTTTTTCTGTCTCTCAGCCATGCCACCTTAAAACTGGCAAACAAACAATCCTCCTTTGCCTCCAAAACTGACAACTAAGCTTCTTCAGTTAGGATTTAGCTGCTGATATTTGAGGCAAAGTAGAGTCTAGTTGCCGTTTCCCCAGCCATATCAGTTGTACTGCGCTGACAGGAACAGACATTTGTTTTTGTCAGCAAAGGAAAAAGACGTGACTTGGAGACACACAGGGAGCAGCTTTGTTGAGTAAGAAGGTGCTATTTTTACAAAGTCACGTTACATTGTGAAACACTGAACATTTACACAAAGAGAAAGGTGCTTAGGCAGCGTTTTTCTGCATTGCACAGCTCGATCCCGGGGAGGGACTGCCGGTCCCATGCAAAGCCCGCAGAGCTGAGCAGGAAAATCCCTTCCCGCTCTGCAGACCAGATTTACTTGTGGCCATTTTTTGGACGACAATCTCAAGTTGAAAGATACATTTGAGAGAAAATAAAATTAGTTTGTGATCGACTTACAAATACAAAAGGCAGAATTAACCCAATAAATGATGTATTTTTAACTTTATGAAACTGTGCAGAGTATTGGAGATTTCACTTCCAGAGTGCTGCACACTTGCAAAGGATATCTGAGGCCCATGGGACTAACAAACGTCCAGCCATTTGGAAATCAGATCAGAGGCACAAACCGGTATAGGAGTCTAGGAAGAAGCACGTGCCTAAACACCTTTTTGGACGTAACGCTTAGGCCCTGATGCTACCAAAATCGTTGTACATGATGAGTTAAATGCTTAAAAACAATTCTCAACCTGGGTTTCTGGAAGCAGAAGCCAGATTGAAATTGTATTTGATGTTTGCCTCTAAATAGGCCATTTAGATTTTTTTTTCTTTATTTTAGTTCATTTTAATGGAGAGTATTCCTGAAATCTACTGCATTCTAGTAGTATTAATGATTTGAACAACAAGATCTTTGTTAAAACGAGTTTTATATAAATCAGCAAAACACCAAAATTCAGAATTCAAAGCAATCTCTTTATGCCTCATCCTCTGAAGAGCGGCTCCCATCGCTAATCTCAGTGAGAACTGAATATCCTCAGTACGAAAAACCAGTTGCCTATCAATGAGTAAAGCAGAGTCTTTGTGGGCCCTCTTCCACTCTCACAACAGATGTGCTGGAAACTTTTGCAAGAATCACAAAAGGCAAAAAAAGAAAGCGTTGAACTCAGCAAGGAATATGAGTGAAAGGTTTCAAGCCTGATAGCATAAGGTGCAATACTTTTACTCAATAAAAAATTTCTTATAAATTCGATAAACAATTAATATCTGTGTGTTTTTTTTTTTCCCTGAGTATTCATTCCTCGGGAAAAACTGACAGCTGATGCAACTCTTTTGTTTTAACAAAGACAACATGAGACAACATGAACAATTCATTGAAGTTTTCCTTCTGCCATGCAATTCTTTCATTGGAAGTGACAGCTGGAATTCACATGCAAGTATAATCCCTGCAGAGGAGACTGCTGTTGGAGGGCTGCAGAAGCTAGTAGGAAAGAGTCCAAAATAAATGTATATGCATATATATACATATATGTCGTCAGCTAATCCAAGATCATGTTCTCATTCAACCAGAAAGTCATGCAAAGTGACGCAGAGTGTCTCAGAGAAGTGGTATTTTGATGTCAGTCAAGCAGATGGGCCTCAATTCAGTGTAAGTGTCCATGTTGGTGACATGACCATGAGGAAAGCAGCAATCCAGCCACACACAACACCACGAATGGAAGCTGGCAATCATGATGACTAAGAGCAGAGTGAGCATGTCCTGCTCGTCCTAAGGGGAAGGGAAGGCAAAGAAAACCACGTGGCTTTGTAACCGGAGACACAACTACAGGAAGCTGGAATTCCAAACAGGGACGTGGTTTAGATCCTAGATCTTCGTGGCCACTTTCAGTTGGTACGTATTGAAAACTTACTTATTAAATGAAAAATTATGTTTCCAGACTGACTTCAGGGAAAGTTTACAAAACTTTCTGCTTTTGGCTGTATTGTATCAGCACTTCTTTAAAATGTGGATTCCTTACGTCAGCAGTAATTTTGGATCAATAAAAATGACCACCTGCAATCTCTTGTCATTGATTTTAAACTACACTTGAGCAATTCTTCCATTTTCTCCTTCCATTTTAGAGGCAGCAAATGTTAGCCTAACATTTGAGTCTAACTGAGTTAGGCTATCGTGGACTCCGATCCATCTCTGCACACACACTCAACCAAAACCAGTGTTTTTTCCTTCTGAAAAGCTATGGCCAGGAGAAAGAGGTTACCTCCTGTTGGTAAATGAGGCCGTTCTTCGATCCAGAGTTTGTGCTGAACAGCACAAACACACGAGAACAGCTTGTTAGAAACAGGCAGAAGTGCTAGGAGTGAATTTTAGCCTTTGTGGGACACTGGGCCCCTGTCTGGTTGCAGGTGTGAATAAGAGACAGAAACCAACTACTGGAAACATCAAGGAAAGGAAAATATGACAGGGTGTGCAACACTTGCTATGCCTAGAGCAGAAATCAAGAGGACCAGGTTCATGTCTGGTTCACCCTCCATGACTTCAGAAAAGCCATGGCAAAGGTGAACGTGGCCCAGAGGATGGAGTTTCTAGAAGCAGAGTAACCTGGGCATAGGGAAAAAATAAAGAAAAACAGCCAGTGATTGTGGTCATGGAGAATACTCTTTTCTCTTCCTCCTGCCACAGCAGCAGCGTCAGACCTGGGGTGAAGGGCGGCACTGAATTCATGATAATTGGGAAGCCTGGAGCCGCACTGTCCCTGCACCACCATGCACGCCTGGGACCAGGCTGGGCACGTGCTCAGGCAAGACGAGTGAAGGCACACCACAGCCAGACACATGCCCGGCTCCAGCCTTTAACCCTGGCCTTTAGCACTTTTCAGCACTGCTGAACGCTCAGGAGAACTCGATCAGCGCGTTGTGTTGTTCCTTCTCTGTTCCTACCACACGGCTTTTGTCCCCCATAGTCTTGCAGTGGCTCAAACTGGAGTCAAGACCAGTTAAATGCCTGTTAAAGGCATTTAAAAGGTGGCACTGTTAAATGCCACCTTGCACATACCCTGCATCTTTTAGAAACCTCTTGCTATTTTCCAGCTCAGCTCTTTTGCATTTCAGGAGCAAAGCAAAACAGCTAGAATGCATCTTCGAGCCTGGCCAATTATTCTTTAAATGAGACTTTTAGAAACACACTGCACCCAGACCCAGACGCCAGTCAAGGGTTCTGTAACCACCTTTTCTTTACGGGTCTGTATGCTATTTCTTCCTGCTGCCAGGTACAAATCTCTGTGGTGCCTCCGCATCCCTGGGTAGACTCCAGATAAGTCTTTTACAAAGCAGAATATAATAGACTTGCTAATCTGGCTTGGTATAGTTACATTATTGACTAAAAATACATGCATTATTGCATTTATTGACTAGAGATCATTGTTTTAGTACATTAAGGAACCACTGCTCGTAAGGAGTTTTCTATTAATTTACCTACACTGAGCTTTCCATGACTGCCCCATTGTGCCTTACTGTTCAGTTATTTCATCATGTATATCCTATCTGCAGGTGCCTTAGCACTCACATCAACATGGAGATGTCTGCCTCTAAGAATTTCTGCAGTGGGAGAATGCTGGCAGATAGCCCAAAGGTTTAGCAAATTCAGAGTTCATCCATAGTTTTGCTAAAGCACAGTATGTACAACACTATATTCAGGATAGATGCAGGTAACAAAGATGCCCTTGTAGCTATGCTAAAGTTCAAGACTTCTTCATGACTGGAAGAACTGCATTGTGCAGTCCTCCTTCTCAGGATCTCCAGCGGAGGAAGAAGATTTTTAGATAATGATTTGTCTCCTCCTCCCTTTCCCTCATAGAACTCAAGATGGGGGAGATGAGATGAGGACCACAAGGGGAAGGAATTTAGTAGAAAATAGAAAAATTTATAGTGGCTTTATCAATTAAAAAATCGTGCCTAGGAAGACATGCAACTCCATTTTGCTAACAAACACAAGACTGGGAACAGACCAGTTAAGATCAGAGTGGCTGATTTTCCAGAGAACAGAACTGGACACGGACAGGTGAGGACAGCATTATGAATGTCACTGGTTTGAAATTCTGCCAAAAAACAACTTCAATGCTAAGCAATTGAAAGCAGCCCTTCTCCAGGGAGGAGTCCCTGCTTGCAATAGGCCTCTGCCTACAAGGACAAGGCAACCTCATCTGGCAAATGGAAACACTGACTAAGATACAATAAATTTTTCAGCTAGACTATTAATGAAATCTTTGCCTCCGGGAAATTTGTTGAAAAACTCTCTGTGCAGCTGATGATCACCCAATATTTAAGCCAGTACTGTCAAGGATAAACTCCAAGGGAGGTCACAGTCCTATCAAAACACATAGCAGGAGGCTAACTCACAGATTCAGGCTATTTACTCAGGTACGGGGGAGTTTCCCGTAGGGAAACTTGCTTACCATGAAACCTAGACATGCCCCTTTCTTCTTTGTTACCCATTCAGAGATGGGATTTACCATGCTAATTCTGACCTTACACTACCTGCAAGTCTCAGGTGTGAATCTCTAGCCTCTAGTCTGACAGACAGCTAAAAGAGCCAGCAAGAAAAAACCAGTAAGAAAGGAAAAGATACAAGTTGGAACAATTAATGGAGAAAACCACAGATACATGTACTTCTTAACTGCAGTTTACAGGCTTTCTGACAGAGACAGACTGGTGATTTTGAGAATTAGAATGGATTCCAAAAAAGAGCATGCAAAAATCCGATTTCACAAACATGCTGCATCACTCAGTGCCCTGCCACTCCTGGGCTTATCATCCTACACTCGCTTCAGCAGGGAAGATAGCTCATGGGATTTACCTATCAGCATTCAAAGCATGCAAACTCTGGGCATGAGTAAATCAAGAAGGTGCATGTTTGCTGCTGATGAGCAGTGGCTGGGGCAGGG